GAAAAATCCTAGATTCCCAGATTCCTAGATTCCCAGCCCCAGCCCTGCATCCACTGCCTTGTACGTCTCGAAGAACTTGCCCTTGCATTGTGGTGGCCAGGGATCTGTGAAAGCTTTCACCTGGACCAGCATTCACAGGTTTTGGTTGTTGTTTCTTGTTCGAGTTACCAACTTGGGAAGAAGCGTGCAGGGCAAAGCATGATTTGCTCTCTGAAAACTGAAAACAATGTTTTATCTAAACCCGGGCGGGACCCCAGTGCAAACTACATGTTCCAATTGCGCCAGTGTAAGTGTAAGTAAGTCCACTTGTGCCACAAGGAAGGCGACTCTGAGTGTCATTAGCTCATTTGACCTCTAAACCCGTCAACCCCCCAGCCGGCCTCCTCCAAAATCCAGGTCTTGGGCCGGCGGTCTCGCACATGTCTGCAAAATTCTTTCACAGGCCGAGTATCATCATTGTTTGCAAAGGGGTGGTAGCCGTTCTTTTTCCGGGAGGTTGATAAGCGGCTGAACGGCTGACATGGCGGTCCACCCACCAGAAAGTCCTGCGCAGGTGTGTGCATGGTTCCCTCGCTTTCTTTAAGTTAAACAGTTGTCACGATACAGCGTCAACATAGTCCCCAATGAAGATTTGTCCAAGCCATCAAACTTACCTTTCCTGTTTTGTTGCAGGTTTGGGGGTTCAGTTTTCATTCAACTGAACACCTGCCGCTTGCCAAGAACTTGGCCATCACAAGACCAAGGCAAGACGCCCCAAAAACTTTAAAAACGGTGCCAACATCTCAATCTCGCAGTCAGTCTCCTTTTGACCAACAGACTGTGACTGACCACTGGCGAGATGACTCACAACTATGACTTAACTTATATTGGTCATGTCCCATGGCCCATGGCTCGATACACAAATGTCTTTGGTGTTAGGAGGACACTGCTGTCCTCTTCTTTGCCAGGTGGCATCTCTCGTGGGATGCAATACGTGTCATGAATCACGCAGTGGCCACCTTGGTGGCCTCCAGCACAGTCGTTGAAAAGGTGCTCGCCTAGGCAATGAGAGACAGCAAAAAATCCGACACGCAACAATTTCCAACTAAAGTGGCAAGGCATGCGGCATGAGGCCTATTCTCTTTCACTGCCAGGTGATTGCCTGTCTAAACTGTGTCTGTGTCAGTCATGTCACGTTGAGTGACTGTTGGACATGACTACGTTTGCCTGTCGGTTAGCACCAAGTGCCCCAATATATCACCACCAAAAAGACTGATAAATGATTCATCCATCAAATTACATAATCAACTCAATTGTATATACTGTATATTGTTTGGCTGTCTGGAACTTCCCAGTGCCATGGGCCAAGATGCAGTGATAGTGTGATTTCAGCAAAGATTGTACGCCGTGGTTTGCTTCAGAAGCGATTATCTCTTCAAACTCTGTGCCGGTTGAATCACAAAGATCTTTCCTGAGTTTGCATCTCTAGCTTGAACTCTCACATCATCTCACATCCTATGTCGCACGCATGCCTGTGCCTGTGCAGGACAAAAGTCATGATTAGCACGGTCAAGTGGTGCATGAGATATATGTGTGATATGTGATATGTATCTTTACCATGCTGTTGCAACCGTAAATCTTCAAAGGAGCATGCCACTGCTATTGTTCTTTCTGTACTGCTTATTTGCATTTGCCTGTTGCAATGCCAAGGTGCAGGCAATAGTTCGCAGTTCCCACGCCAGTGCAAGCAGTAGCCAACGCATACCTTGTCAAAGTTTGCTTGGGCCCTGGAGGGGGTTTACTGAGTAACTGCCCTTGTTGCCCTCACAAACTTGGTTACATGAACACCAATTCGTAAGAATGCTGAGTATTGCTGCTTTGTTAACAAGCCACTTCTTCTGACCCGGAGGATGTGAGAATATGCCAGTGATGCGGCTGGCTTGGTAGTACAACTCTGCGCACTCATCCATGGTTGGGGAGACATCTGAAACATATTCGTCTGCTTCCTGTGATTCTGCAACCTGGGCCTCATCAGGATTGCTGCTGCGATCAGATGAGTCGGTAAGAATCTCCCATGAGCTGGAAGCTCCTTCGTCCTGGCACTCTGTGAGTTCACACATGATCACATCACACCTGTGGCATACAATCACATCAAATGAGTCCGTTCACAATTTGGGTAGATTTCTGCCTCTAACTCAGCCTAGCACATTTGCATATGGCCACAGTCACATGATATGCCACACACACACGGTCACCCATAGGAATGCCGGAATGCCTGTCCTCAAAACTGGAATCGTTGTACTCGCTGTCATCCGGCGACTGGAATCCATTCCAGTGATCCTCGGGCCATAAGTGACAGTGACGTGTGAAACAATATTGACATTGCCATGGTTCTTGGTTGGTTTCTGACTTACTTTCCCTCAAAAAACCAAAAGTTGACCAGTACAGCACAGTCCAGTACAACATTGCAACAAAGTAAGTAATTAGATGGCAGGGACAGCTACCAGTCACCAATGATCAGAATTGTGACATGAAAGGGAGGGATGTGGAGCATGTTGGCATGCGGAAATGCTTTAGCTGAGTCTCTGGAAGTTCAAGAGGTGAACCACAGTGAGACGCCAGAATTTGAATCTTCGACATGTGCCGGAAGGTTGAAAGGTTGACAAAACACTGAAATAAATGCCCACACTGAAATGTTGGACTTGGCTGATGCTGGCTTGATGCTGGTAAATGCTGGTCTTTATGTGTTGCTTTCCCCTCATCCAAAGCCAATCATTTCCTGGTCATGCTTTGGCCTCTGGAGAGCAAGACAAGCGCACCATCATGGAGTGGGCGATGTAATGGCTGGTCTCAGTGCTCGAACAGACCTGAAACCCTGGATAACTGGGCTAAGGAGAGCTTCACAAAGATGTAGTAACTGTGTGCAATGCCACAATACAGTCTCAGCAGATTTCAATATAGTTTCTGCAAATGTCAATATAGTTTCTGAGGTTGCATTTTAATACGTCACAAACTAGTGAATAAACAGGGCCTACCCAGTACTAAGATATAGTCGCAAAAACGGAGAGGGAAACCTTCCAAAACGAGCGCTTCGTACGAGACATTCGCAAAAACAACAAAGGAAACCTTCCAAAACGAGCGCTTCCTACGAGACATTCGCAAAAACGGAAATCTGTGATTACAACGCCCCAATGTCACAGCGCACATGTCACACCTTCGACGCAAACGCTCTCCGCAGAGGGTTGCCCAAGCACACTGGGTAGCGCAGTTTCGCCTAGGTTTCGCGCATCCGACACGCACGATCTCCGCAGAGGGTTGCACACGCAGAGGCGCAAACGCAGTTTCGCCTAGGTTTCGCGCATCCGACACGCACGATCCCCGCAGAGAGTTGCGCACGCAGAGGCACAAACGCAGTTTTGCCTAGGTTTCGCGCATCCGACGCGCACAATCCCCGCAGAGGGTTGCACACGCCCCGGCACAAACGTAGTTTCGCCTAGGTTTCGCGCATCCGACACGCACGATCCCCGCAGAGGGTTGCGCACGCCGCACGCCCCGGCACAAGCAGTTTCGCCTAGGTTTCGCGCATCCGACACGCACGATCTCCGCAGAGGGTTGACGTTCGTGATGGTCCGCCGGGCCTGCCCCCCGCCTTAAGAGAGAAAGAATAAAGAAGAGAGATGTGAAGATGTGAGTGAAGATGTGAAAAGATGTGAGATGTGAGAAGATGTGAGAAGATGTGAGATATGAGAAGATGTGAGAGAAGATGTGAGATATGAGAAGATGTGAGAAGATGTCAGATGTGAGAAGATGTGAGATATGAGAAGATGTGCGAAGATGTGAGATGTGAGAAGATGTGAGAGAAGATGTGAAGTGTGAGAAGACGTCAGATTTGAAGCTCTTTTATATGTAGATCATTTACACCTCCTTCTTTTTGAAGAACCCTTCGCTCAGACGCTCTCGGGAATAAAAAGATATGTATTATATATATACACACGGCGCGCGTGTGTGTGTGTACACATATGCACAGGTTCCTTGCGTATGTGTGCCGAGGAATCGGTTATATAGCTGGAAGAGGCTGAATACAAGAGTTAAAAAGTATTAACTCCAGTGTTAATGCTTTAGCTTTTACATCTGTTCAACCTGTAACTCTAGAAGAATTAACTCTGGAGTTAATTCTGTCAACTGTGCCACTTGTGCACATAGAGAATCAACTCTGGAGTTACTTTTTGTCTCCTTGTTTCCTTCTTTGTGTCTATCTCTTTCTTTTGTTTGTTTTTCTGTTTCGCCTTTAGCTGTATTGAATTCTAGGCAGGTGACACGGGATTAGGAAGATAAGAAGGTGGGACAAACTAGCCACTAAAGAATTCACTCTGGAGTTAATTCTTTTTCACTGTGTCTTGTTGCTTCCTTCTCTTTGTCTAGCTCTTTCTTTTCTCGTGTTTTTCTTTTTCATTTCTAGCTGTATTGAGTTCTATGGCAACCAAAAAATGAATTTACTCATGAGTTAGTTCTGTTTCACTGTGTCTCCTTGCTTCCTTCTCTATCTATCTCGTTCTGTTCTTTCATTTTCTTTTTCATTTCTAGCTGTATTGAGTTCTGACAAGCACAGCACATCAAACAAAGAATTCAGGTTGGATTTAATTCTTTTTCAAGGGGTGCGGAGGCAGGAAAGGAATTATCTCTGGATTTAAAAATATGTTTCAAGGGGTGCAGGAGGCAGGAAAGGAATTAACTCTGGATTCAATTCTTTCTTGAAGGGGTCCGATACAGAAAGAAACAATGAAGAATTAACTCTGGAGTTGCTTCTTCCAGAAGCAGGGGTGACAAAAAGAATTAGCTGGGGAGTTAATTCTACTGAAGCACATGCTGATGTGCGCCCCAGGACAAAGAATTAACACCAGAGTTAAGAAAAATTAACTCTGGTATTCACTCCATGTCTATATAGTTGAACCTCGACGACAGTAGGTTTTGGTTCAAATCGTGGGACACTCTGCCAGGACCACAACTTGCAAACAAGCTGCCATCTGGACTGATGCCACTGCTGCCCAGGCCCATGGCGGCAGATACATTCTCCGGTCTCGGTAAGCCAGTTAGAATCACATCACCTCGGGATACTGAGTCTGCACAAGATTGGCTGGAAACCAGCTTTGAGTACAACCCGCCATGCAGTCCGGCCCTTCTTCATTTGACATTGCCAGCCCTTCTTCATGGTCGGGTGTCCAGCGGAAGTAAACAAGGACATGCTCCGACAAATGTTACATAAAGACGACAAGACACGGCCTGCTGGGCCTAGGTCGTTTTCTATACGTTGTGATGCGTTTCATGGTGCCAGGCAGTCCCAGCAAAGCCGGGCGACACAAGTTTAAAAGACAATGTCAGGATCAGGATCATGTGCAATGTCACGTTACCATGCGGTGATATTGGCTGCGATATGCAATGCCTTGATTTGCAGCATGGTGAAGAGAAACTGAGAGTTGAAAACCACTTTTTGTTCGCAGAAGGACTCCGGGAACACGCCCGGTCTCGGGAAAACGAATCGAGTCCCGTGCGACCCATGCCAGATATGAGTGGTGCGTCTCACCATTCAAAGGTCAACCGTATACTGGTTACTAAATATATCTTGGAAATGTTCTCTACTACAATGAAGCCAGCTGAATACCAATGCACAGCATCCCGCAAGCGCCCAACGGTCCAGACGTCAGGGCTACCCCGCATCAAAGCCGACAAGAAAATTCTGACAAAGACGCTACTAGGGGCTCCTGGCCTTACTACTAGGAGCAAGGGCGCTCCTAGGGG